TCTGTATTCAAGGCTGCTGCTAATTTTTTAGAAATTCATATCTAATCAATTTCAACAAATTAAAAATAAAGGCATGCTTAAGCAATTAATTAATAAGCAAGCCATTGCTGCAATCTTTGATGACTGCACAATTGGCTTGTTTAGTTAAACCCATCCAGGAATTTTGTGATTAGGGATAACTTAATCAAATGATCAATAATGTAAAAAGCATTCAAAAAAGTTAAAATATCTTTAATAATATCTCTGCTATATTGTTATATAAACTATTAAAAATTAAAAAGATATTTAAAAAATATTAGCATTTAATGTTATTATTATAGTATTACTTTAAAATTTCATACAAAAAGGTATATATATATTTGATAGCATGTTGCATTTGTTTAAAAAAGTTTTATGAAAAGAAGTTAACAAAAATAGAAAATGTTCAGGAATAAAATATTTTTGGTTCAGTAAATAAATGCTTTGATTAAAAATTACTTATAAATTAATTTTTAATTTAAAAATTGAACTAATAATTAATGATTGGAATAGTTTTCTATTAGATGAAAGCATATAACCATCTCTTTTATCAATATACATTTCCAAAATTCTAAATTATTTGCTTGTATGTTAAGCAAAATTTGCAAATTTGTATTCCTGTTCTGGGACATTTTTTCCAGACTTCTAAATTATTAATTATTTAACCAATTTATCTCCTGCAACAAAAAAGCAGAGGAGGTTAATAAAAAAAGCATCACAGATTGCATTATTCAAAACAATTGCCATAATTCTTCCAAAATGGAAAGCATGTATATTCTTTTTTAGTTAAGTGTGCAAGTTAAAAATTATTATAAATGGAAATATAACTTATTATTTGTGCAAAGATATTACTCAAACTAAATTATAATTTGATCTTTTAAAAATTGTATTATGAAAAATTTAATATTTGTTAATAAGAAATCAGAAAAACATGAAATTTCTCATAATATACTTTCATCAAATTTATTTTATTGGTATTTAAATATTTTGTTGCCAATGAAAAATGCAATGTCTGAATTCTTATTTAACAATTTTTTTCAGTAGATGTTAAATATTTTAAGCTTTGCTTATTTAGAATTGGATTACATGTAATTATTATCTATCAATAATAGTTTAAGTTATAGTACTTAAACTATTGGATAAACTTGTNATTTATTATAAAATTCTCTTGGTTATTTTCTATTCTAATTTATTTTGTATTTGAGTTATGGGCACACTAACTGATAACTGTACAATATAATCATTTAGCTAAGGTCATAATTATTGACCTCAGTGACATATCCAAGATTTTGAGAATATAGCACTGCTCAAGGCAGATTTGGGGGCTCATAACTTGTCCTATTATTTTTTGGAGAATGTTACTCAATTACCTTAGTTAGCTAATCTGACCAAATTGAAGTTATGCAGTATACATTATTATATTTATTTTAATTTTAAAAATTTTTACATTAATTTGAATTTCCAAATGAGACAGGCTTTAATTTAAACCAATGTCATCATCATAAGGTAGTATATACTATTATAAACATCACATAATGCATTAATTAATAGAAATAAAACTGAAGCCATAGCCAATTCCTTGAATAATCTATTTTTAACAGATAACTAACAGTCTTTAATAATAACTAACAGTCTTTTTTGATGTCCAAAAACACAAAATTTCTTTAGGACAACCATGGTCATGCAATTTTTTCTAAAATATTATTTACAATTTTTTGCAAAAAAATTTGTCAAAAACTTTTTTGGTTTTTGACTGACTTTTTCATTATTATTATTAATTTTTGTCTCAAATTATATATGGAATTTCAACCTGATCTATAATGTTGTTACCTGCATGCACTATTTTGCATGTTCTACTGANCTGTATATTAAAATTTATTATTAAAAGTATTGATTATTAGGCTCAGATTTTCTTACAGTAGAAGGAATTTTTTTTTAAATTTCAAGTATTCCTTGTACAAATAAACTTTTAATTATTATGAATTTATATTGCATATATATCCCTCTATAAACAAATGAATAAGTCATTATAATTAATATAGAAAATGTATTCTTAAATTTATTTCTGAAGGTATCTTTCTGTTATCATTAATAAAAGATGCAGGAAAAAATAGATTTAAATACATATTTGTATAAGTTTTAACTTGTCACTAGAAGCTAGCTATATTATATATATATTTGAAACCCATATTTTATATGTAAAATTGTAGTTTAATAAAAATGTTTCATGATTTTATGGTTGTTTCAAGTAAAATTTTTTGTTGGAATATATATTGTATTTTCAATTAGGGTCAGTTGCTTAATCTTTTGAATGTTGTGTTGAAATATTGTGTCAAATGAATATACAGTATATAACACTTTTGAGTCTTTTTGCTGCAAATATAAATCTATGAATTGTTTCACTATAACAATTATTATTAAATATTAACAGTATAAATTTTTAAAATTTATACTAAAGATTTCTTTGAACTTTTCTGACATATTTTACTAAAGATTTCTTTGAACTTTTCTGACATATTTTNACAGATAACTAACAGTCTTTTTTGATGTCCAAAAACACAAAATTTCTTTAGGACAACCATGGTCATGCAATTTTTTCTAAAATATTATTTACAATTTTTTGCAAAAAAATTTGTCAAAAACTTTTTTGGTTTTTGACTGACTTTTTCATTATTATTATTATTTTATTTTTTTGAAAATATGACCATATTTGTATGGTGTAAAATAAAAAATATTAAAACTACTCTACAAAAATATGAATAAAGGAAAAATAATACAGTAGAATTTTGTTTTAACAGATTGCAGAACAATGGATTTTTCTTAGCTCCATCTCCAGTAGACATTATATTTTTTATTATTAATTAAAGGTTAAAAAAACCTTTAATTAATAATTGGATGTTTCTAGATACTGAATTTAAAAAAATACATTGCACACTGTGCAAACTAAGTGCATAATCATCACGGACGGTTCTCACTGCTAACATTGCACCCATATGTTAATGTCCTCCTGTGGCGCATTGATTAGGGAGGGAAACTACTTTTGGCTTAACACTCTCAAATATGCATGTGTGTGCAACAAAAGTGGGTCGCACCTTTGTTGCAGATGTGTTTGGGAATATCACACCTTGAAATTGTGCTCGCATAACAGTAACATTTCATACTGATGATGCCACCAAAAGAATATAAAAAAAACACCTTTAACAATAGTGTTCTATTTTGAGTTAACTGAAGAAGATTGGTTAAAATGATCGAAAACGTTTTTAATTTAGTAAATTTTATTTGCTGGATTGTTAAATGTGTGTTTTTTATAATATTTAGTTATCCAGTATGTACATTTTTATAAGTACACCAAAAGAAGCCCAGAAGCATCGCATCATCAAAGCAAACCAAGATGGACAAGTTTTTTAACATATGAAGTGCTAATAATCATATGTAATTTGTTTTTTGGCTTATAATGTATAGTTTCTGTCAGCTTTGTTATGACATAATGTATGAATATTGTAATATATGTGTTTATATAAAATAAAGAATAGAAATCTCAAGACACTGAATAATTTCAAGTACAGGTGTTATTTTATGTAGAGGGTTTAAAAAACAAAAATTTTTTCATATAATGGATATTTTCCTGGGAGTGCAAGAAATCTGTTGTTCATGATATAACAAACTTTCAAAACAACAGATGATTTTTGGGGCCCCAAGCAATCCATTAAAACAAGATTTTACTGTATTTATAGAATGATGATAAAATTTCTATTTGACAATTAAGAAAAAGTTTTTAAATGCAGATTCTTCATTTGCAAATTTTCCTTATGAGGAATAATTGAATATTTTGCCTTAATTCAAGTCAACATGAAATGTCACCCATTAAACTGTCAAATTTTTAAATGAAATTGTGGTTTGATAAGTGAGACTAACCTGTTCCTAATGTAAGCAAGCTGTGATGTAACAAATGACTGAACTTATTAAAAACAAAGTAAAAAACATTCTAGTTTCACTTTTAAAACATATGGTTTCCCTGCATTTTAGTCAATTTTCCTTATTAACATCTGCAGGCTTAACTGAGATGCTACTCCATTTTATTGTAACATTTTTGCATCTATTGCTATATTTTTCTACTAAAATTTCTTTGAGACTGTCTTAATTTTTCCCAAACCTTGTTTGTTTATGTGATTAGACATATTCTGTATCTGTGATATATGATAAAATTTGCTTTAAATCTTGTGAAAATAATTAAATTTTGTTGGAAAGGTTTAATGAAACTCCATTAGTTTAATTTCAGAATAATAATAATAATACAGTTTGTTTATATTAATATAATCAGATCTGTCAAGGTGGTGCAGTTCCTTGTTCCTCATATACAGCACCTAGTCGTCGTCTTTCCATTGATCAGAATATGACAGCAGCTGTAGTTGAGAAAAAAACACAACTGCCAATAGAATTTCAAGTAACAGAACCTGGTTCGGTTCTTCAATGGGAATTTCAGACTGAAGATTACGATATTGGATTTGGAGTATATTGCAAATCTGAAAATGGAGAACAGAAAGAACTCATTCCCATTCAACGTGTAAATTGTCACTTAGTCCCTGAAGATGGTATGGTTGTATGTGATACAGCAGGAACATGTAAGTTTTATCCTTTATTTCAGTTAATTACAATAAAATATAAATATCATAACAGATTATATTTGTCATTAGATATTTTGAAATTCGATAACTCATTCAGCTGGTGTCGTCGAAAGAGGCTCATGTATCGAGTTGAGGTTATGCCACCTACTAAAAAAGAAGAAATGAAAGAGATAACCCAAAATAGTGAAAATATTCCAGTATAATTAGTCCAAACTTAAAGGATGCAGATTTGCCACTTTATAAATTGCATCCAATTTCATTAATGTGCCCTAATTAATTGTTCTAATCTTACTCTATACAAGTTAATTTGAATATTTAAATCCAAAATTTTGTCAAATTGGCATTGAGAGAAATTTCATTATGTAATTATATGTGCTATAAGGAGTGAGATTGTTTATAAATTTAAACTATTTCTTTCTATCAAAGATATCTATAATGTGACGGTAAAATCATATACATATATATACATATATATTTTTATTAAGAATTTTTAATTATTTCCCTTCAAAAATATGCATCCAAATGATTATGAATTTAGCCATTTAACAAAATGGCAAATATGCAGTAAAATTCCATATCAGTAGCATCTATCTAATTGTTGAATGTTTTATCAATTATCCATAAAATGTTCTTAATAGTTGTAAAAATTTTATTATTCCTTCCTAAATAAATAAATATAAACAAGTTATAGAATATTAAAATCCACATAGAAAATGCATTAACCCCTCAATGCATTTTGTTCCAAAAATCACTTTGATATTACTTTATAGTGATTTGAGAGAAAATGAAAAATATTTTATCTTAATAGTTTACAAAATGTTATTATAGACTATTTATAAATATTTTTAATTAATATATTGGCATATTTAAATGATGACTGGCCAAATTTAATACGTAAGAAGAAAAACTGCAGTTACTATGTTAAATTCATGTAGTGAATTTCAAATATTAAAATTGTTAGATAAACTCACATGCTTGAGGGGTTAAAACTCACTTCTAAAGCATTTGTTGTTGTTCAGTGTATTCAAATGCACAAGAATCATAAGTTTTGACAACACAACTGATTAATCCAAGTTAAATTAAAACAATAAACTAAATCTTAATAGTTATTTATAAAAAAAGTTATTTTCTATAGCTCTCATATAGATCAGGTAATATTATTTAACATAGATTTAAAGTAATGTGATTAGATTTTTCTTACTGTATCTTGTGTTGTTTTTCTTTTACATATTTGAAACCAAAATTCTGAATAAGTTGGCATTGGAGGTGTTTTTACATACATATATAAATATTGATATATACATAACAGACTGAATCAATTGAAAGAAAATTTATGATATTAAATTATTATTATGCAAAAAGATGCATAAAATTTATTCATATAGTATTGAAAAATTCTTTTTGAATAATTTTAAAATTCTTGGAATTTTAAAAAATTCCACAAATTCTAAATAATAAATGGTTAAAAGAATTCTTAAATATTGTTGTAAGAATTTTCTGTCTTAATAGCATTAATCATATTAATTTCAGTTTCCTTTCACATTGGATTAAGTTATATATCAATGAATTTACCTATATTTTATAAAATTTAATATTGTCACTATAGATTTATTTACTTCAAAACTTTACTAAAACATAGGTAACTTATTTATATGTATTTTAAAAAATCATGAATACTGTAGAAGAAATTAATATAAACTATTTTTGAAAAACTATGCTTGAAATTGGAGTGTAAGCAAAGTTCAAATCAATGATTTAATAATTTGCTGATTCAAAAATAAGACTATCACAGAACTACATTTCTACAGTAAATGTATTTTTAAACTTAAACTATTAAATCATTGATTGGAACAAACATAAAGAATCACACATTGAATTTTATTGTTTTTATCAAAAACCTTATAATAAAGAAATGTATATATTCACAATGAAAATTTAAATACCATATTTTCTTGATCTTAAGATGAGCCATAAGTTTGAAATTAAATTGTAAGATATTTTTATACGGAGAAATTTTCAAATAACTTTTTATTTAACAAAACTTAAACAAGTTAGAAAAAAATTAATTCAAATGCTATGAAATAAATATTTGGCACCTATTTTCATGCTCTTCTATATATACAACTTTTAAATGCAATGTCATATTTAAGGCATTTTAATTATATTAAAAAGGAATTTTTAAATTGTTAACAGCAAAGCTTGTTTGAAATGAGCAGTGTAGCTGAAACATTCTAATACTGGTGCATAATATATTATATGATCAGCTGTCAATAACTTCTGATCATTGTTTTTGTCTTGAAATTTAAGGTGCATCTCTGTTTTCAACAAGCTGAAACAGGTAAAAAGTGTTTCAGAATCAAGGAAATATGGTATTACCTGTCTAATTTCTGTTTTGTAATAAATATAAAACAAAAATTAGATTTATTACAGTTCACAGATTTCTTGTTTAAATGATTAAAAAATTTGATTGATCTAAATGCTAAAAATTATATAAAAATATACTTGGGTTTTTATTTATTTCTCAAACTGATTTATTAAGTGGAAAGACAATAATAATAATAATAATAATATATTATTATTGTTTTTAGAAACAAAATGGAATTATCTATGATAAGAAAAATGGAAAAGAAAAATGTGATTAATGTATGTTGATAAGTAGCATTCATTGAACACAAAGGGAAACAAAAGATAAACTGGAATCATTTTACAAGAATAATCTCTATAATTGACAAGTTGAGCATTTATAAATCATGTAATAAGAAATAATATTCAACTTTTATGACATAAAAATCAGATTTCTCCCAGATCCATATAACAGATAGTTAAAAGCATTAACTATCAAATATATTCATTAAAGTTGCAATTGTTGTTTAACAGCAATGTATAGTTAATTTATTGCTATTTCACTATAAGGATACAGAAAGATGAAACTTGGATTAATGCAGGTTATATTAAGAAAATTATTTGGAATATGCAATACTTCATAATGATTACTTTAACCAACATACAGCTTTTTCAAGACAATCAACTAATCTCTCTAGAAGAGAAAAGCATTTTATTGTGACTCATATATGGATAGTGAAGATAAAATTGTATATACACTTCATCTTCACCTTCCATATATTTCAGTATTAGGGATTGCAATTGCTGGATCCCTCATCCAGCTGGATCCAGCACATTTTTCGGCCTGTTGGATCCAGCACCAGGTGCTGGATCCACGCTGGAGATCTGCAAATACTCAATTAACTTTCTAAATAATGGTGCAAAAGTTTACGTTGTTGGCCTTGCTGCTTTGCTACGTGCGTTATCGCTCGGCGGCGAGAGCGACGTTGCCATTCAGTGCGGCACGTACTACACCCCCTCTCTACACTGCACCGCCTGCTCTTTTACCTCTGGTGATCTAATTGCCAGTTGACTTTCCACTCTCGCTAAATAAAGTATCTTCACGCTAAATAAAATAAGTAACTCCTATCCTAGTCCTGGTGCATAATTCTAATTTACGGTTGGTTGTGACGTCAATGAATCACGTGACGGAACAATCGCAGTTTAAACTGGCCGTAGAAGCTCTCTGCAGAAGAGTCGAGTTTGATAACTGCTGACACAATCCTGAAATTTGTCTTAGACAAACTAAAAAGCCAGGACACAATCTTGAGTGCCAACCTTTCCGAGGCACTCTGCAAAAAATCAGAGAACGGCATCTTACCGAGGTCACAGGGATGCTGATTTACATACAGAACCCGAAGAAGTATGATCAAAAAGTCAGAAAGCTTTATCTTTCACATGCCGAAAAAAATGTAATGCGCCAAATGAAAAATATGCTGAATCGTGTAAATACATATGTAGTGGAACCAGCAGCAATGGCAGAGGATATTATGGAGGTGAAAAACGATGATCCAGATAACCTGGATTTCCTGAATTTCACATTGGAACAAGAATTAGAGATCCAACTAAAGAAAACTTCATGAAACAGAAAGAAACTAGTACTGAGAAGGATTATGATAAGTTATTAAAAAAGGAAATGGCTGTTTATGAAAGTGAGGGAGTCAGAGGTGAAAACTTATCTTTGATTTATCATTATTTGATGACACTGAAACCAACTAGCATAGAGGCAGAAAAGGCCTTATGTAGGGAGGGATATACATGCAGTTCATTAAGAAGTAGGTTGGGAGACAACACCATCAATACCATTTGTTTCTAGAGATTATACTTTTAGAAAAGTAAAAAAATAACAGAAGTGATTGATTTAATTTTATTTAATCCTTTAAAATACTTTATTCAAGTCAAGACTAATATTTTATAACTTCTACTCTAATTCTATTAAGTAAGAGTTTTTAACTTTTATTCTATAAGTGGTTAGTGGGCTAGGCTAGGCAATTTTATTGTGAAAATTAGTGAGAAACTGAGACTACCTAGTTAGTTAAATAGTTAATTAAATTA